GAAAAAGTATAGAGCTTAGTTCATACTGCTATGAATAAATGTCTTTTATATCAGGATCATGAGTTTGTTGAGATGATTAACACGTATTTAGCTCGTATAGATTTACATGAGAAAGAGATTAGAAGACAAGTAAATGACTCAGAAATTGAATCAAATAAAGAGAATATATTTTCAAACGTCAATCTTAGAAACCCAAGAAAAGTTGCTACTAAGGGGCGACCAAAGCTATCTAGCCACCGTAATAATAAGCAAGGTTAGTATTTAGTAAATGTACCATCAAATGAAGGCAAGAGAAGGCAAAATCATTGTGGTTACTGTAAGGAGGTGGGTCATAACGTTGCAACTTGTTCTAAAAAAACTAAGGATCAAAAACTTTGAATGTGATTATTATTTTCGGTACGTAGGTATTTTTATTACAATCATATTCATTGCATTACATAATTGTCGTTAGTACTGTGACATATCGATATGGATTTATCATTTATCGTTATGATTTAGATGATGTACGTATATGCATATATATATATGTTTATACGTACGTACATATCTGTTTGGTATATATAAAGGAATTGATAAAGTATTTATATGCATGTGCTTGGCTAAAGTTAGGTTGGTCTTAATGTGTAAAGCAGTACTCTATATAAAAACATTATTTTCGCATTTGTTATTAGAATATATATAAGCTTTAAATTTTATTAGTTTTTAATCTATAATTAGTTTAAGAATTATTTATATATAAAGTAGATTAAAAATTTATAATTGAAGTCTCTATTTTAAATATAGTTTAAAATAGGTTTAAAACTGGTTTATTTTTTATATAAACTGGTTTTGAGATTTAATAAATATAAAAATTGGTCACATGATCTGGGATGCAATATATTGCAGGTGCAATAAATTAAAAAAATGCAAATTTTTATAATAAAGTTTATAAAGTATATTTTTAAGAATATATTCTATAATATATATCAACCGATTTGGTTTGGCCCCAAAATTAGCCAATCATGATTGAAAATTATTTGTCGTTAAAATTTATTATAGAATAAGTTTTTACAAAAACGGTTTTTTAAACTTACTTTGAATCCATAAT